TGCTGCACTGGGCAGCACAGTATGGGGAGGAGGTGACCAGCCCTCTGTGGAGAAAGAAGTGGTTTGGGAGATTTAGAAAAACTGGATGAGCACAAGTCCATGGGGCCAGATGCGCTGCATCCGAGGGTGTTAAAGGAGTTGGCGGATGTGATTGCAAAGCCATTGGCCATTATCTTTGAAAACTCATGGTAATCGGGGGAGGTCCCACACGACTGGAAAAAGGCTAATGCAGTGTCCATCTTTAAAAAAGGGAAGGAGGAGGATCTGGGGAACTACAGGCCAGTCGGCCTCACCTCAGTCTCTGGAAAAATCATAGAGCAGGTCCTCAAGGAATCCATTATGAAACACTTAGAGGAGAGGAAAGTGATCAGGAACAGTCAGCATGGACTCATGAAGGGCAAGTCGTGCCTGACTAACCTAATTGCCTTCTATGAGGAGATAACTGGGTCTGTGGATGAGGGAAAAGCGGTGGATGTGTTATTCCTTGACTTTAGCAAAGCTTTCGATATAGTCTCCCACAGTATTCTTGCTGGCAAGTTAAAGAAGTATGGGCTGGATGAATGGACTACAAGGTGGATAGAAAACTGGCTAGATCATCGGGCTCAACGGGTAGCGATCAATGGCTTCATGTCTAGTTGGCAGACAGTTTCAAGTGGAGTGCCCCAGGGGTCGGTCCTGGGCCCAGTTTTGTTCAATATCTTCATTAATGATCTGGAGGATGGCGTGGACTGCACTTTCAGCACGTTTGCAGATGACACTAAACTGGGAGGAGTGGTAGATACACTGGAGGGTAGGGATAGGATACAGAGGGACCTAGACAAATTAGAGGATTGGGCCAAAAGAAACCTGATGAGGTTCAACAAGGACAAGTGCAGAGTCCTACACTTAGGACGGAAGAATCTCATTCACTGTTACAGACTAGGGACCGAATGGCTAGGTAGCAGTTCTGCAGAAAAGGACCTAGGGGTTACAGTGGACAAGAAGCTGGATATGAGTCAACAGTGTGCCCTTGTTGCCAAGAAGGCTAACGGCATTTTGGGCTGTATAAATAGGGGCATGGCCAGCAGATGGAGGGACGTGATCATTCCCCTCTATTCGACATTGATGAGGCCTCATCTGGAGTACCGTGTCCAGTTTTGGGCCCCACACTACAAGGAGGATGTGGAAAAATTGGAAAGAGTCCAGCGGAGGGCAACCAAAATGATTAGGGGGCTGGAGCACATGACTTATGAGGAGAGGATGAGGGAACTGGGATTGTTTAGTCTGCAGAAGAGAAGAATGAGGGAGGATTTGATAGCTGCTTTCAACTACCTGAAAGGGGGTTCCAAAGAGGATGGATCTAGACTAGTCTCAGTGGTACCAGATGACAGAACAAGGAGTAATGGTCTCAAATTGCAGTGGGGGAGGTTTAAGTTGGATATTAGGAAAAACTTTTTCACTAGGAGGGTGGTGAAGCACTGGAATGGGTTACACCTAGGGAGGTGGTGGAATCTCCTTCCTTAGAGGATTTTAAGGTCAGGCTTGACAAAGCCCTGGCTGGGAGGATTTAGTTGGGAATTGGTCCTGCTCTGAGCAGGGGGTTGGACTAGATGACCTCCTGAGGTCCCTTCCAACCCTGATATTCTATGATTCTAGGGAAGAAAACAGGAAGGACTGAGGTGCTGGCGATGCCAAGGCCCCTGCAATGACTGGGAATTGATTTAGTGAGATCTAACCAGACGAGACGAGCAGGGACCCCTGCACCGCACTGAAGAGGAAGGCGAATAACCATCAAGGTCCCTGCCATCTGCTGGGTGGGGAAGAGAGATTTCTTCCCGACCCCAAACTTGAAGATCAGTGTGACCCTGAGCATGGGAGCAAGACCCACCAGCCAAGCATCTGAGAAATCCGTACTCCATCAGGGTCCCAGCCCACCCTGTCCACAGTCTGTCTCCAGCGGTGGTCAATCCCTGATGCTTAAGACGAAGGACAAAAAATAACCCTGAACCACATTGGGGGAAAAAATTCGCTTCCTGATTCCCACAGGTTAACATTCCTCTCTGCAGACATCACACTCGGAAGGGTCTTCACCACCATAACAAGGCGTTGCCCATTTCCCCTGCCTCCCCACCCAAAAATACTGCTGCAAATTAAGGGTCCCCAGTTGCTTTGGTTGCATTTCACCCATCCAATCACTTCCTAGCCCCAGACCAGGCCCTCTAGCCCCACCCATGTCTCCCACAGCTGCCTCTTACCTCAAACACAAACATGTGTCTCCCAGCTGGGACGGGTCCCACCAGAACAGAGTCGAGCACCTGGTCATACTCCTCGCTCTCCGCAGAGCCCACATAGATGATCTTCCACTCCAGGTCTGAAAGGGAAGGGGAGCGCGGTGAGAATCGGCAGCAGCCCTTGAGTAATGCTGGGGAACCAATTCTGCTCTGGATTTATGCCAGCATAACTGAGCACAACACCCAGATTTACACCAACATGACTGTCTGACCCTGACTCTTGTGTTCCCCAGCCAGAACTTAATTATCAGTGTCCCACAACCACCTACAAACTCCAACCCCTTTGTGCTGGGCACTGCCCAGACACGCTAGGACACCACCACAAAGCAGACAAGACAAAGGAAGGATTATTATGCCCTTTTACAGGGACACTGAGGCACGGCAATCTTAAGGGACTGTCCAAGATCAGTCTCTGTGGCATGGCCCAGAACCAAATTCTGATCTCCTGAGTCCCCGGCAAACACCTCAAACATGAAACCATCCACTGAGCTGCAAACGCCTTCCCTTCCTCCTGCCAACCCTTTTCTTCGAGGGATAGGGATCACAGGGGACCCCAGAAGGTTAGATTCTGTAGACCACCAACAAGAGATGGGAGATCGTTTGGCAAGAGGTGAGACCAAAACACCGAACAGAGTCTCCGACAGGTGCAGCCCCAGTGGGAAGGGAGCCAGACTCGGTTACGAAGAGCGGACTTTGCTCTTTAAAGCTCATGAGAGATTTTCTGATTATGACCCAAGGCCAAGGGATCTTCTTAAGCATTGTCTGCACTCAAGGCTGCACCAGTTATGGCCAGAATGGTTTCATTACAAGCCCCCATCTGGCTGTCCAGTTCCATCTGCTGTTCCTTGTCCGATACTTAGATCGGAAGCTCTTTGGGGATGGGGCTTCTTTTTTGTTGTTTGTACAGCGCCTGGCACAATGGGGTCCTGGGTCATGGTACCTCCTGTGTGCTCTTAATTTCATTTACATTAAGCTCAACTCTGGTTTTAAATCAAGTTAATACAGGCACAGGCACTAGGGTTGCCAAGCTGTCCATTCAAAGGGATGAGTTTCAGCTCCGAGCAGGATCTGCCTTCTTTGCCAAAGCCTGGTACCCAAACCTAAGAGGCGCTCAGGCGTGTCTAAGCCTGAGCCAATGCCAGGCCTATGCCCCCATGCACAGACGTCAAGCTAGAAGTGTGTATAGGCAGGCGGGCAGTTTCCACTTCCACACCCGAGGGAAGCGTGCCATGTAACATGTAAATACTTCCCAGGAGACTGGATCAGGGCCGCCTTTGCCAGGCAGAGTGATGCCACACAGCAGGGGGAGTTTGGATTAAGGGGAATACATCGTTTCTCAAAACAAATCAGAAACAGCAGCTTTTCACATACAGAAGCTGTGTAATTTACAAGAGAGCGGATGCGTTAGCCAGAGATTACATAATAGGCTAGAGTAGCTCACTAACACAGGGAAGCCTTCCCTGAGGAACAAACTGCAGCATATACCCTCAAGTCCCCTTCCCAGAATAGAGAGTAGTGGGGGACGATTCCACACAAGCCCCTAAGAGCAAGGAATTTCAGTCTGATGGAGGACTGATCCTTCCCTTCCCCCCAGTGCACTGGAAAGCTTATCCAATTGATTTGGCAGACAGGTTTCCCAGAGCAGCACGGCCCTTCCTGTTTGGAGAAAGATCCCCCCACAGGGCAAGCTGCAGCGTAAGGCAGGCCATGCAGCGGGTGGTGCTGCCCGTATCTGGATGATCGTCCATCTTCTCTGAGGCTGTCCAACAGCTCGTCGGCGCTCCCGCTGCCCCCACTCAGCGGGGCTGTGCTCAGACTCTGCAAACAGCCTATTTTGAAACCGTCAAGCCAATGAGACATGCCAGTTTCTCAGCCCCAAAGACAGCAGAGAGATTTGGCTGCCGCCCCTCCACAGCTTTGACACCTCCTGAAGTTAAGAGGCTCAGGGCTTAGGCCATAAAGGGCTTTGCAAGCTACGCTTTCCTGACAATACCACTCTGCAGTCTGACGTCTCGCATTATCCTCACACCCTTCGGAAAGTTTCTCTTCGACCCCTGGGTTCCTTTTTTCAGGGAGAGGAGCAGGCCTCCAGAGATGCCTCAGAAGCACTCAGATCTCTTAATACAATGGTTCTAAAACTGCAATCTAAGGGCCCTTTTCCTTGATGGGCTGTTTTAAGAAGAAGGGACAGGAGGGGGGTTAGGGTCTTTTGGACAGGAAATCTTAGTGAGGGAGGGCACATGAAGAACTGGAAACATCACTGCCAATATTCTTTCAGCACCATCGCTTCGCTGTGTTAAGTAATGTCTCATTCATGTGTTTATCGCTGGCAAATATTCAACCCAGGAAGATTGGGCCAAATTAGTTCTGGCTACACCACGATCTGCAAAAGGCAGACGTTTCTGCCCCTAGGAGTCTCTACACCAGAAGGTTTATCTGGCCACAGAATCAAGCCATGTGTGTGGCCTGCTTTTCAGAAATGCTGGGCACATGTGATTCTCACCTATCAGCAGCATAATGTACCATTGAAGCCTTGATGTTTATACAAGCTGGCACCAAGCAAACAGAAATTTGCAAGCAGAATTCCCTGGGGCAGTCAGGTAAGAGTCTCATCCTCACTGGTAAGGGGCATGGCTGTGCTGGCCGGGTTAACAGGATAGTTTAGCTAAGTTACCTTAACGCCAAAGGGCTCTCTGCAGCCTGCTGAGTGCGGATCAGATGCAGAACGTGAGGGGTTTCCTCCACAGGCACCTGCTTTCACCTCCCACTCACTTCCCCGGAGTGGCCATGTCTAGCTCCTGCAGCAGCTCCTGTCTAGGCATTTACACCACTTTTGAGGCCTCTGAGGGCCTGACCCAGGCTGGAACCCAGCAGCCTCCTGCCTTTTAATAATGCCCAGCGTTTCTTGGCATTCACATGCTGTCTGCGCTTTGCAGCTAACAGCGAGTTAATCCCCCAGGAGGGCTGGGCCAGCACCAGCCCCGTCCCTGTTCCGGAGCTGGGGAAGGGACGCGCCCCAGAGCGCACAGCACGGCAGCAGCAGAGAACAGAACCCAGGAGTCCTGGCTCCTGAACCCGGTGTATCTACCCCCCTCCCCCACTCGCTGGGGCAGAGGGGGGCAGGCACGGCCCATATCGGGGGAACAGCCTCGACTCCTCAGCCAGGCGCCCTGGGATCCGACCCCAACCCCGCAGGGCAGGTCCCCTGCCATGGACCCCGTCCCACGGGGGGGGAAGGGCCTGTCCCAGAAAGCCCCCCCTCCCCCCCCAGCCAGAGTGGGGACCGACCCCCGACCCCTCCCACCCCCCGCCTCCAGCACGTGCGGGGGGGGTCTCGCTACAGGCCCGGGCAGAATGGGAGTGAGGGGCCCCCCCGGCACTGGAGTGAGGGGCAGGGGCTATGGGGGGGCTCCCAGGCCTCAGAGGTCCCAGGGCCGGAGCCGGTTCCCCCGGGCGGGGGGCAGCGGGGAGCCCCGTTGTCAGGGGCTGGGGGTCGCTGGGCCGTCACTGGGGGCCGGCCGGGGGGGGTCCCGGCCGGGCCGGACTCACCGTGCGGCAGCGCCTCCCCGCACTCGAACTGCACCTGGAAGCGCAGCGGGCGGCCGAACGGGCTCGGGTTCTCCAGCACCGACACCCCCAGCACCGACACGCGGGACATGCCGCCGCCGGGACCCGAACCCGCCGCCGCCGCCGCTCGCCACAAAGCAGCCCCGCCGCCCGCGCGCGCTTGCCGCTGCCGCGCGCACAGCCAACCAATCAGCGCGCGTCAGCCGCCTGCCTCCGCCACTGCCCACCAATCACCGCACTTCGCGCCGGGACCAATGCCCGCCCGGCCCGCTCACTTCCTGCCAATCGCCACGCCCTTCCCCTCCTTCGCCAATCGGCTTTCCGGACTCCATCCCTGCCGGGAGCCGCATGCGGCCAATCCGCGTCCGCCTCACATTCCTCCCCACCAATCAGCGCGAGCGCCAATTTTGGGGCCACAGATGGCCAATAACCAGCCAGGTCGCTTGGCCGAATGAGGCGGGAGGAGGGGGAAGAGAGTCTGACCAATCAGAAGGGGCGATGAGACAGAGCCGAGCGGGGTGTCCGGGGGAGGACGGAGGGACAGGGGGGGGCTGCGGCTGGACAGAGCAAGGGGCGCGGTGGGGGCCGTGGATGGGACCTCCCAGCCCTGAGTGCCGGGCGGGGGACGGATCGCGAGGGGCGGGGGAGGGAGCCCCAGGTGTGCACCAGCTGACCCGCAGCGGGGTGGGGGGTGAGCAGGGGGAAGCCAAGCGAGGGCAGATCAGGAGAGGGGGATGTTGGGGTGATGATGGGGAGAGTTGGGGGGTATGGGAGAGGCCTTCCCGCCACCCTGCACTAGCAGAGACCGACTTGTCCCCTGCACCAGTCCCAGAGAGCTCGGCTGGGGAGGTGGGCGGTGGGCGGTGGGGCCCGCCCAGAGCTGGAGCTATGCTGGGAAGCAGGGCAGACCCCTAGTGACCCCAGAAAACCCGCCCGGCCCAGGCACGGTCGGGGGAGGGGGTAGAGCGGAGGGGGGGCCTCAGGACGGGGGGGCAGGGCCACGATCCAGACACCAGGGCCCCGCCTGAGTGTGGGCCCAGCGCCATGGAGCCACTGGTGCCATGGTAAACCCGGTACTGCCTGGGTGGGGCAGAGATCCAAGCAGAGGCAGGGGAGGGGGATCCATTGGGAGGGGCCCAGGGAGGAGGTGTGCTGGGTTGAGGGGAGGAGACCTTCCGGGGGTGGGGTGGAAGGAGGCAGGTGGGGGTGAGGAATCATGGGAGGGGCGAGAGAGTAATTGGACTGAGCCTGGGGTGGGGGACAGGATTGGGGGTGGTTCTGGGTTGGGTTGCAGGGTCCAGACTGGGTAACTCCCCCCCATTGCCAACAGAGGGGCACTAGCAGCGCTGGGTGGAGACAGGGCAAGGCTAGCAGGGGGCTGCAAGTCGGGATTGAGGGGCACCGGCAGAGCTGTGGAGGGAGAGGAGCGGGGGGCTGTGCGTTGGGATTGAGGGGCACCGGCAGAGCTGTGGAGGGAGGGGAGCGGGGG